AGAACCAATTTTCTCAACCTCAGAATCAATTTCCTCAGCCTCAGAACCAATTTTCTCAGCCTCAACACCATTTCACTTCTATACCTAACCAACCAGTTAACTTTCATAACCCTGTCACACCAAGATACTCATCCAATGTTTCTGCTCCACCACAATTTACCTGGGGACCAACCGGAACTTCTTACCCCTACACATCAACTCCTACCTCTAATCCTACTGTTCCAACTGCAGCTTGGGCATGTGCTAACTCTTCAATACTAGGACCACCACCTAGTAATCAGAATTGGTTCCCAGATTCAAGGGCTACTCACCATGTCACACCTGATCCACTCAATCTGCAGCACAGTGAGCCTATTGCTGCTTGAGCCTATTGCTGCTACTGATAAGCTCTTTATGGGCAACGGCCAAGGTCTGGAAATTAAGTTTGTTGGATTTTCATCCTTCCCATCCCCTTATCATTCATCTCTTTCATTATCTCTTAACAATATCTTACATGTTCCTGCAATAACCAAAAATCTGGTCAGTGTCAGTAAGTTTGCTAAAGATAACAATGCATTTTTTGAGTTTCATCCTCATGAATGTTTTGTTAAATCCCAGGTTTCTAAACAGATTCTACTTTATGGAACACTTGGCTCAGATGGTCTGTACCAATTCCAATCATTTCCAGCTCTTGGGTCTCACAAGTTATCTGCTAAAACATCTCAAGTCATCCCAGCTAGTTCTGTTTGTCCTAGTTCTTTCATTTCCTCTTGTAATAAATCTTATTCACATGATTCTTGTAATATTTGGCACTTAAGGCTAGGCCATCCTCATTTAGAGGTTCTTAAAACTGTACTGAATCTGTGTAATGTTCCTATGATAAATAAAAATGTTGTTGATTTCTGTTCTACACGTTGCTTAGGGAAAGCACACAGACTTCCCTCTTATCCTTCTACTACTATCTACCATACTCCCTTTGAACTAGTTTTCACTGACTTGTGGGGCCCTGCACCTGTCCAATCTTATGATGGTTACTCTTATTATGTGTCATTCATTGATGCATTCACTAGATATACATGGATCTATTTTCTTAAAAAGAAATCTGATGCACTCTTAGCATTTCAGAATTTTCACCAATATGTTTCTACTCAATTTCATGCTTCTATCAAATCACTTCAATCTGACTGGGGTGGTGAGTTCAGATCATTTACATCCTTTCTTAATGAAAAAGGTATCACACACAGGTTAATCTGCCCTCACACACACCATCAAAATGGTGTGGTTGAGAGGAAACACCGCACCATTGTTGAAAAAGGCCTATGCCTCTTAGCTCATTCATCCATTCCTTTAAAATTCTGGGACACTGCCTTTGCTACAGCTGTACATTTAATAAACAGACTACCCTCCAAATCTATTGCCAATCTTAGTCCCTACTTTAAACTACATGGCACCATTCCTGACTATTCCTTTCTTAAAGTTTTTGGATGCTCATGTTATCCCTTCATAAGGCCTTATAATAGACACAAATTTGACATCCACTCCAAGGAGTGTGTAGTTCTGGGATATTCTTCTCATCATAAGGGTTATAAATGCCTCTCTCCATGTGGTAGGATATATATATATATATATATATATATATATATATACAAAAAAGATCAGGTCCAGCCCTCCCCGGTCCAGCCGCCGTCCGAACTCCGCCGTTTGGGGCGGTTCCCGGTGGAATTTTTTGATGAAATTTTTTTAGCATGTTCTTCATCAAGTCTAGTTTGTCCATACCAAATTTCAGCTCAAAATTCGATCGGGAAGGTCGTCAAATGATTTTTGCAAGTTAACTGGTCCGGAATATGTATTTTCCGGACCAGTTAACTTGCAAAAATCATTTGACGACCTTCCCGATCGAATTTTGAGCTGAAATTTGGTATGGACAAACTAGACTTGATGAAGAACATGCTAAAAAAAATTCATCAAAAAATTCCACCGGGAACCGCCCCAAACGGCGGAGTTCGGACGGCGCTTCCCGTCCCTCCGACTGGACCTGATCACTTCTCTCTCTCTCTCTCTCTCTCTCTCTCTCTCTCTCTCTCTCTCTCTCTCTCTCTCTCTATATATATATATATATATATATATATAGGGATGTTGTCTTCAATGAATCAACATTTCCTTACTCAACTCTTTTTCCTTCTACAAACCATACCTCTCAAACTGCACAAATTCCATCATCTCTTCCTATAACCTCTTCTGCCCCATCTTCCTCTTCCTCCACACAATCTGACAATGGTGTCACTCCAATCCAAACTGTTTTTAATTCTATATCCTCCTCTTCTTCATCTCATATTCCTTTTAACAACACTAGTCATTCTTCCTCTTCTCAAACTGGCTCATCTTCTAATTCCACTCCTTCTCAAAATAATTCTTCCTCAAACAACTCTAACCCTATCAACAATTCTTCATCTCCTATCAATAATCAAACTATCACTCACCATTCCAGTTCATCCACCACACCAGTTGTGTCCTCCTCTCCTTCTTCCAGTTCCTCTATTCCACTACATAATACTCATCCCATGCAAACCAGATCCAAATCTGGGATTGTTAAACCTAGACTTAATCCCACCTTACTGTTGGCTCACATTGAGCCTAAATCAGTAAAGCAGGCTCTTTCCTCTCCACCCTGGCTTGCAGCAATGCAATCTGAATATGATGCTTTGATTGCAAACAAAACCTGGTCATTAGTTCCTCTTCCTGAAGGGAAGCAAGCCATAGGCTGCAAGTGGGTTTTCAGAATAAAGGAAAATTCTGATGGTATTGTGAATAAATTCAAAGCAAGGTTGGTTGCCAAGGGGTTTCATCAGAGGTTTGGTTTTGAGTTTGGAGAAACATTTTCTCCAGTTGTCAAACCTGTTACCATCAGAATTCTTCTCACACTAGCTGTCTCTCATCACTGGTCCATCCAACAACTTGACATTAACAATGCTTTTCTCAATGAGGATCTTGAGGAAGAAGTATACATGACACAACCCCCTGGTTTTCAAGCTCAGGACTCTCTTGTTTGCAGATTACAAAAGTCTTTGTATGGCCTCAAACAGGCTCCCAGGGCATGGTTTCATAAACTCACCTCAGTACTTTATAATGCTGGTTTTAAACAAAGCAAGTCTGATCCTTCAGTATTCCTCTATCTCACTTCTGACATCCAAATATACATCCTAATCTATGTGGATGATATCCTAGTAATAGGAAACAGTCCTATTGTCATCAACCAAATTATTCATAAGCTGCATTCCTCCTTTTCTCTGAAGCATCTGGGAGATGTTGACTATTTCTTGGGAATTGAAGTCAAAAAACTTCCTGATGGTTCTTTACATCTATCTCAAGCAAAGTATGTGAGAGATCTTCTACACAAGGTTGGAATGTCAGATTCCAAAGGTGTAAAAACCCCATCAGTAGCTGCAAGCTAACCAATGAAGGAACTGATTATTTACCTGATCCTTCTCACTACAGGTTTGTTGTTGGCATTTTGCAGTATGCTACTTTAACCAGGCCTGAACTTAGCTATGCTGTAAATAAAGTATGCCAGTTTATGGCTAATCCTCAGCAAGAGCATTGGAAAGCTGTGAAACACATATTGAGATATCTATCTGCTACTGTCACTCATGGACTACTCATCAAACCTCTTCCACTATGCACATCACCTCTTCCAATTTCTGCCTTCTGTGATGCTGACTGGGCATCAGACCCTACAGATAGAAAGTCTACATCGGGATCTTGCATCTTCCTCGGGCCAACATTATCTCTTGGTGGTCTAGAAAACAACTGAGGGTGGTCAGATCCTCAGCTGAAGCTGAATATATAAGCCTTGCAGACACCACTTCAGAAATTTTATGGATTCAATTTCTGCTCAAAGAACTTCAAATTCCCTTCCTAACTCCCAGAATATATTGTGACAACCTTAGTACAGTTCAGCTTGCACATGATCCTGTACTTCACTCTCGCATCAAACATATGGAGCTTGACCTCTTCTTTGTACGAGAGAAAGTTACACTCAAGCAACTTGAAGTTTTTCATACTCCAGCTTCCCAACAAGTGGCAGATGTTCTGACCAAGCCCCTATCAGCATCTACATTTCTTGAATTCAGAAACAAACTGAGTGTGATTGATTTTCCCAAACAATCATACTCAATTTGAAGGGGGAATGTTAGCAGTATTAAATAGACTATCACTACTGTTATAGTTAGTTAGAACGGCTTGTGCTTTCTATTAAACTATTGCCTTGTATAAATACTTGTAATCTCACACATTATCAATAAGATGAATTCATTCTGATCTTCTTCCCAATATCTATAATCTATTAGAGAAGGTGATCACTGTCATCGTTATTGCAATGAGACTAGAGCCGTCGAAAATATTGAAAAATTTTGGATAACATACTATATCAAAAAACAACAATTTTACCAAAAACAAATGGCATGGTATAGTTCATACTGAAATGTTTCAGTCCAATTGCCACTACGACAGTTGACAGCCACAGTCAGCCACTATAATTAATATTGGTCACTACTCACTATCACCGACCACCACAACCGTTAACTGGTCATTGTTGATGCCATTGACTATCACCACCGAACACTGTTACTATAGTCAATCCTCGCCAACTCTGCATGTGTCCTTGTCCTAGTATCATATATGTAGTATATGATATTGAACATATTTGTTGGTCAAATTTAGTTTCCTAATTAGAAAACATGAAATAAAGAATGGAAAACAAGAAAACAAAAACAAAAATAGAAAACTGAAAAGCAGAAATAGAAGCTTAAAACAGAGATAGAAAACTAGAGAACAAAAACCGTAAAATATTAATAGAAGATTGGAATACAGCAATGGAAAATCAGAAGACAGTTTCTGTCAGTGTATGGCCCTAGGCCCTAGCTTCTACACCATTTTAGAGACTCCTTGACTTAAAATCCAACACTTAAAGATTTAGCTACAAATGTTCTTTCAAAGACAAAAAGATAATTGCAAGGATAGACCTGATCGTCCAACCATGCCACACCAATTGCTGAACTATCGAGAGTCCATTCCCAAAAAACTTTGAGGTCTGATTTTATTAACTTGGCAACTTGAATTTTCCGATCCCACGCAATTGCAAGCAGTGAAACTTTTTGTGATGATTCCACAGGCACATTTTCTGTCACAATTATAAGAAAAGAAATAAAGAATAATAGGGTCCTCTTTTAATAAAATATCGGCACATGTTCCCCGGCATTTGCCCCACTGGATGCGGTGGCTTGCCTTCCGGGTATTAAAAAAAAATAGGGCCCTCTTTTAAATCTCTAAAGCTATCAAAATATATGTCATCAACCGAAGAAGTTGAGATACCATTTGAAGAAGTATTGATTTCTGGCATACATTTCCAAGCAGCATAGGGCATGGAACCCTCCCTAACACCATCTGGCCTGGGAAGTTGAGCATAAACCTCTATATCAGGACTCACTTTAGCCTACAGGTGACACATGATAAAAGAAAGAGGTCAAGGAAAAGATTACTGAGCTTATTACTCATGAGAAGAGTTAAAGTGAATGAAAAAATAGAATCCAATGGTAATACAGTCTTCTAAAATAGTTTATACCACTAGAGCAGATTGATGAGTGGCAAATACGACCACACCTTCATCACCCTGAGAAGTTCCATCGAAGAGTTTCCACCCAGTATCTCCACCAACCATGCCTCCCATCACACTACCAACACTGGAAACAGTAGTATTGTCTAGAGAAGGCGTTGGAGCATTTGCCAGAATGTTCCCAGAGAGTAATGGAGAAGCACAGACTACAGTGCTTGTAGTTTCATCTAGCAGCTTCTGTTTCAAAAGGGAAAGATAATCTATCTCACCTGAGGGGTGACATTTAAATCAATACCATACGCAGATATATTCATAGCTCTATGGGAAAAGTATTACCGTTGATTTAGAATGTGAAATCCTATTGATCCAGGGCACTATGGAAAAACGAATCAATTTGACTATACCCTTACTATCACCACTGACCACATTAAACTGGCGAGAATCCTGACCCAAGATAAAAAGGTGAACTACTGGAGCTTTATGTTCAATCACAGCTTTAACAGCAGATGCCCTTTGCACATCCCAAACTGTATATTGTCCATCACCATATCCTGCAAAGAGCAAGTCCCCTTGATGATTGAAGCACAAAGAAGTTACAGGAATATGAGTCCTCTCTCCATGTGAACGCAGCATCAACATCTGAAACATATTCAAATTTACCTCTTAATAATACAAGAAGTTATTCAGTTTATTAGTCTACCAAGTACAAATGTTTCGAGCAAAGTGATAAAAACTGTGGGTATTTTTTATAGAGTTTTTGCCACTTTTAATCCTTCGACTATTATGTCACTACACTTTTGGTACTTGACTTTGAGTTTTTCCACTTTTAGTCCTTCGACTATTGTGCGACAGACACTTTTGGTACCCGTCTTTGAAAATTTCCACATTTATTCCTTCGACTTTTATAAAAGTGACAGTTTTGGTCCTTCAACTATTACAATAGTGACATTTTTAGTCCTCCACTTATTGTGTCAAATTAATAGTGCAATGACTAAAAGTGGCAATTTTATAATACTCAGGAGACTAAATGTGGAAAATATTGAAGTCGAGGACTAAAAGTGTCTCTAGCACAATAGTCGAGGACTAAAAATGGAAATATTGAAAGTGGAGTACCAAAAGTGTCACTAACCCAATAGTCGTTATAATGCCAGTATGATTTGGAAATTGAGAAAGACATAACTAAAATACTTTTGTTTATGCAACTTATACTCAAGAAAATTCAGATGGGATATACACAAAAAAGGATGGAAAAATCACACCTTTGAATCCATTGTGTCGGCATGATAAGGTGTATATCTGCTGGGCACAATGAGAACCAGTCCTTTTGACATTCCCACAGCTATGTAGCTCATGTGAACTGTCAGAACCTGTGGGGAACCATGATCTTGTCTGAACTTAGATGAAGAAAAGTTTTGAGTAAGAGTGTTTTCTGCACTAACGTCAAAGTAACTTGAGGGAGTATAATCCCTATGAACGCCCTCAAGCCTCATAGGTTGGGCCACAGCACCCACCTCCCAATGCATTCCAGCAAATGTCTGCTTCTTTTCAAGTTCTTCAGCTAACTGAATAGGGCTTAATAAAGGAAGGGATTTCTTTTCTTTGATTATCATACTAGTCCCGATCTCCTCGTGTACTAGCTTCTCTAGCAATACCTCTGCAGAATCATTTTCAGAGCTATTATCTCTATCTCTAGAAGGAACCTCACGATCACGAGACTCAGACACAATGTTCTCTTTGTGCTTTTCAGAAACTGCTGGAGTTACTTCCTCATCTAGAGGGTGGATCTCCTCTAAATTAGTGCTGACTTCAGCAGGCACATCAGTATCTTCATTTGCCAGTAAATGTGAATCATTATCACATTTTCTCTCAACTAACTCTTCCTGTAGAGATTCCCCATCAACATCAGAACATCTTTCTGTTCTGATGGTTTCAACTGGGGCAATGGAGAAAGCTCTGCAGGAACTGTCAGCCTTGGAAACTAATAATAATAAGCCACTTTCATTATCAGCATGGGTTGTAGCAATAACTCTACTTGTTCGGCTCAAATTCTCCTGAGCTTGGCCGGAAACATCAATGGAAAGCTCTCCCCTTATATCAGACCGGTTAGTTCTTTGCAATTGAGCAGGTAGGCCATTATTATCCAATATAAAAATAGAGTCATTGGTCTCAGATGAGGATTCATCTCTAGTGGCCCCTAAGCACTCAACATGGATAGCACTACCAGAAGAGGCAATCTCTGCCGCGGTTGCAGAGCTGGAAACTGCTCTCCTAATTGCGACAGCGTGTGGGGTGGGAATGGAGCGCGACGCAGCAGCAGCTGCAGCCAGAGCAGCCCCAGGCTTGGCACCCGTGAGAAACGGAGGCAAATAAGAAATATCGTCGGATTTTAATCTAGTTGTAATGACTGTACCAGGCGGTCTCTGTTGTGAAGAGAGCAACGGGGAATGAGTTAACCTTAGGGTTTCGGAAGAGACTGAGCTGCAGTCGGATTGTTCCTGAAGACAATACGAAGTGGAAGAAGAATGAGGAGGAGAATGCGAAGGTGAAGAAGAAGAGGAAGAGTGGTTGAAGAGGATTTCATCGACGGTTCGGTGATGTAGAAAGTGATATTCATCATCGTCCTCAGCGATGGTCTGCGCATGAGAATGGAGGATGGACTCGAGATCAAGCTCCATCATAGGTCAGGGCGGGTTAGCAGTTGAGTACCCACAGCCGCATCCTTCTCACTGTCTGACCCTGCAGCTCGCGTGGCATACAATTCTGGCATTTCCTCGGCTTTCAAACGGGAATCGGATAAGGAGAACAGTTTTTGCCGAGCTACTTGCTTTTTGTTTTGAGGCATACACACTGGGGCTCGTTTGGTAGCGGCATTGTCATATGGCTGAATCTGTTTTAAAGACTGAATTTGCTGAAGTGAAAGTGTTTGGCAATATGTTGGTTGAATTGGCTGATTGGATGTAAAATTACCATAAAGGTATTATTGTTTGTATTAAATAAATGGGGAGAATTTTGCTATTTTTTTTTTTGCTTGAATCAATTGTTTACCATAGAAACATACTAGAAGAATATGGAGCAGCTCAGCAAAAGAAATATACTTAAAAGAATATACTTCGTAAATATACTTTGTTCAATCTGTTGTCATAATAACAAATCAACTTCGATCCGTATGCAGCTTACCTGGCCTTTGTGAATATGGAGCAGCTCAGCAAAAGTCTTCAATTTGAATCACGAAAGTGCAAAACTATGAGGCAGCGAGCAGGCCGGTGATTATGTCGTCCACTTCAATCTTGAGCAAAGGAAGATATATTCTAGATATAGAGGGCAGATTAGTCTTTGCAATAGCCAACAGTGAAATAATGAATTTCAGCTAAAAAGTAGCAAGACACTTGTTTTTCCGGCTGATCATAAAAATCAGCCAAAACAGCCTGTTTGGCATGTGTTTGGTGATTTTTTTCTACTTTCAGGCTTATAAGCCTATTTTGAGTTCTCCAAACGGCCACTAGACCTAGACCAAGACCAAGACCAAGACAAGACCTAAACAACCAGAAAACATTATTTGATCATTTGTCCTTGACTAAACTCAAAGACTATCCCTAGCTCAGAAGCAATATGATACATTAATCCACACTTGGGCAAGGGTAAGTCAATCATGATCAACAATATATTCTTGTCACTTATCCTATTTTATACTTGTCACGATTCAAAAGTAAAAAACATTATTGCATATCTAACACTAAAGACATCAGCGAAAAACAAAGCAATGTAACCAAACATAGCGTGAAAATAAGACCAAAAAAACAAAAAATAACATGTAAGTGTTGGGTTCAGGTAGAAAAACGCAGCGGAATAAACGAAAAATTTTACTACCCAAAAATAAACAATCGGATCTGAGGTTCATACTATAAACGAAATTAAAAGACATAAGAGGGACTTACATAGCAATCTTAATCAAGGATGTCAGACAGTCTGAGAAAACGATCCCGAGCTCTATCGGTATCCACACGCACGTGACTGGTGATGGAGTATATGGCCCAGGAACCCCCAGCCCACAGACTCCTACTTCTCCTACAGAGGCCCAGAAGGCCCAAGAAGCATAGGAGGCCCAAGGCACAGCGTCCCAAGCCCGAGAAGCCCGCTGCACCCAAATAGGTGCCTTCGGCCTCCTTGGCCGAAGGCTCCAAATCTCACAGGGCTGCCGGTTTCGAGCATACGAAGCTACTGGGAGAAAACGGCGTAAAACAGTAGCCCTCGGCTACCGGTAGCCTTCGGCCAAACACATGGTGCCTTCGGCATCAGGGAAGCCTTCGGCACTCCCATGCCTTCGGCTACACAAAGCCCTCGGCCAAGGGAGAGGCCTTCGGTCAACAACTCAATCATCGAAGATTCCTTTTGGAGACAAGCAACCACCACATTTAATGCGACGTCACATCCACCCACCGCATTCAATGCGGTGCACATGCGATTGCCACCCGGTTGAGGTGACCCCTCGGTCGTTAGATTATCGCCACGTGTACTCTCATCGCATTTATTGCTGCTATAAATAGCAGCCCCTTTCCCCATTGTAAAGGACCAGAACATCTCGAGTTCATAAATATAATCGCCTCTCTCTCCTAGTTGTTTGCTCTGACTTCTCTCTAAGTTATTCCCGCAATAACCCCTCGGATAAGCTACCCCCCGGGTACACTGTCCATCATTTGGTGCTCTCATTGAGAGGTCCGAACAATCAAGTAAGAAACCCTCTCCTTCGCCAAACACAAAAACACCTATCAAAATGGGAAGAACTCGTGGTCAATCCAAAACCCTCGAGAAAAACCACGTAGCCCCCGGCGAAACCAACGGGGCTGAAGCCTCTAACAGACTCTTGGTACCCGAAGGCGGTACTATCGCCGAAATAGAGCAGGCCACCGCTGACCTCCGTCAGCAGCTCCAGAAGGCTGCCCATGATGCCCGCATAGGGCTTGATAATCGAAGGAGGGATCGGAGTGAGAACCAAGTTCCCCCTCCGGCCCCGACCATTGATCTTCAGGCTGCCTTTGCGGCCTTTGTCCAAAACATGGCTCCCAACCCTGGAGCCTTCGTATCTCAGGCACCACTCCAACCCTACTTTGAGGGAAACGCCGCTTGTCTGCCGCCCCCTCTTCTGTTCAACAATCCCGTAATACGGATTGGCAACGCCGAGGGGGTCGTAGCACAAGACACCGCCTCCCAAGAGGTTTAATCCAAGGACAAACATCACAAAGAGAAGCCCTGAACCTCTGCCCTCGAGAGGTTGGGCCAAACTCAAGAGCGCCGAGGGGTCCAAGACCGCCTCGGTATGAAGGCAACCAGCAAACCGCAAGAAAGCGGAGGCTCCGTCTCGGGGGCCGGGGAGAGAACTCCCCCTCGGGACAAAGGCAAGCGCCCCCTTCATGCCGACGACGTCAGGCACCAAATTAATCAGGCTCAGTCCTTCTGGGCCAACCCCAATGGGTTGCCCCAAAGGATCCCAAAGACGAAATAATTGAGGCCCTCCTCCGTCAGCTCGAGGAGACGCGTCAGGCGCCCCTGACGGCTTCCACGCCGGGACCAGATCCGGAGTATGCCGCCCTCCGGGCGCAAGTGGAGGAGATGAAGCGCAAATTCACCGAGGGCTCAGACGAACCCCTCATTCAGCTCCGCACAAGGACGCCTTTCACCCCTAAGGGTGTTGGCGGCTAAGATCCCCAACAAATATCGGGGACAACCCATCAAGCCTTATGAGGGGAAGACGGATCCCCAAGAACACTACAACAGGTATCAAAACAGTATGATGATGATGGGTGCATCAGATGAATATTTATGTTGTTGGTTCCTTTCCACATTGGAGGGGCCGACGTATGAATGGTTCAATCGATTGCCCGAAGGCAGCCTCGATTCGTGGCAGGAACTCGCCCACCGGTTCCTCACACAATTCGCCGGGAGGCACCGGTCAAAGAAACACTTCTCCCACCTCCTAAACGTGAGGCAACAGAAGGAGGAGGCCCTTCGGAGTTTCCTTGAACGCTGGAGGCAGGCCTCCATCGAAGTCGATGGGGCCGATGACAAGACCTTGATGGCCCTCTTCCACACCGTCCTCCGCAACGGTAATTTTTCCAGGAGCCTCATTACTAATCTCCCCCCCCCCCCCCGCGATTATACAAAAGCTCTCCAGCGGGGGACTGATATGCCGAGGCCGAAGAGATTGAGAAGGATCGCCGGAATTCGGAACCTTCACACAAGAATGATGGCAGAAATTGCCTCGGGGGGCCACCCCCTCCGTCAAACCGCGAGGTGCAATACAATGAACGCCCCCGAGGTGGCCAAGCCAGACCCGGGGGCGGTTACAAGAACGGCCCGAAGGCATGGGCGCAACCCGTCCTCTTGGAGCACCCACACACACCCCCCTGACACACCACGTCAGCATCATCTTGGATTATGCGGAAGAGCGAGGCCTCGTGCAGCGAGACTCCCGTGCACCCCTCGAGGTATATGCCATCAACCCTGACGACCCTTATTGCTGTTTTCATCGCCACCATGGGCACAAGACTGATGACTGCCATCAACTAAAGACGGCCATCAAAAGGCTAATACAAGCGGGCCACTTGTCTCAATTTATCAGGGGCCCTCCTCCTCAGGGCCCCCCTCATCATCAAGGGCCCCCGCCGAAGGCTCATAAGTGGGTGAACCCAAACACCATCCCCTTGGGAAACCCACAGGGGAAGAAGCGAGAAATTGGGAACCTCAGTGAGGAGGAGGATCCCCAACACCAATACAAGCGCCACATTCACATGATTAATGGTGGCAACACCAGAGGCGACTCCACGAGCCAGAGAAAGAAATGGGCTCAATCCCTTTACGTCGGGGAAGTCAACCACATGCCCCCAACAAAGAGGCCGAGGGCGGATCCTATCTATTTTACAGATGCGGATCTGCCCCCATGATCCCTTCCTCACAGGGATGCCCTCGTCATCCGCACTGAGATCAATAACGCCATCATCCTCCGCACTTATGTTGACACCGGAAGCTCCGTCAACGTAATGTACCTCAGCACCTTTCAGGAGTTAGAACTTGACAGGGGTAGCATTCGGCACATCAACACCCCCATCTCCGGTTTCACGGGGGACAGCATAGACGCCGAAGGCGTCATCACCCTTATGGTTGAATTCGGCGACAGATCCCATAGAGCCAAGCTCGAAGTGGAATTCGTCGTCGTTAACCTCGACTGCGCACATAACATCATCCTCGGCCGTCCTGCCCTTGAGGATTTGGAAGCCGTCATCTCCATGAGGCACCTATGCCTCAAATTACCTACGCCTACGGGCATCGGCTACTCGAGAGGGAATCAGAAGCTCTCCAGGGCTTGCTACCTTCAACTCACTAAGAAGGTTAGCAAAACTGAACTCCGAATTGACACGATCACTACCAATGCCCTGGAGGAAGAAGAGAATAGGCCGAGGGCTGAGGCTGCTGAGGACACCGAAGACTTTGCACTCAATCTGGCCAAGCCGGAGAGAGTCTTAAAGATTGGAGCCAAGCTCCCCGAAGACTTGAAGATCGGCATCACCGAAGCCCTCCGCGCCTACCCCATTGTTTTTGCATGGGGGCCGGAGGACATGCCGGGGATCGACCGAAGGGTCATCACTCACCGTCTGGCGGTGGACCCTTCGGCCAAACTAGTACAGCAACGAAGGCGGCCCCTCTCGGCCGAGAGAAGGGATTTTGTCAAGAAAGAGGTCGTCATGATCATCTCCATTAAACACATCCGAGAGGTGAAATACCCTTCATGGTTGGCTAATGTAG